AACTTACCTGCGCTGCACTGAGTAGATGAGTTCGATAAATTGAAACCACCTCCCTGTGTTGCCTCTCAGCATCCTGATTGAGCAGAAGGGACAAAGAAAGACATGATGACAAACAGCGGTTAATGCTCCAGGACTGTAAATACTGAATTGCAGTCCCATATTGTTTACAAATCTTCCATCTACACCAAAATGTTACTGATTGTTTTCTAAAGTTGGTTGTTATTAGCAGTGTTGGGCAGTAACTCATGACTAGTAATTAATGACTTTCCCCTGTAACTAGTAGTGTAACTAATTACTAATACATTTCAGTAATAACATTACAGTTACTCCCCCAAAAAATAAGTTACATTACTTTTGTTGTCATCAAACTTTGTCTTTTGTAATTTAAAAAACAAAAAATGTAATAAAACACAACAATTTACTAGCTCCTACAGTTGTTTTGTCTATTTAATCTAAAGCAGATTATGCATATGTTAACATAATCTACTGTGATTCATATTTCAATTTGTAATGCATGCCCACTCACAGCCAGCTGTTGCTGTAGGCTCTTGATCTGGGCTTGAAGTGTGTCAATGTGCTGCGTCTGTCTCTTATTGGGCGCGTTGCTTGTGTATGCCAGCTGGGACAGACCATTCAGTGCCTGCTTCAATCGCTCAACGTCTGTCAGCAACTCTGTGATCTGACACACACACAAAAGACACACACAAATATAAATGTTTATACATTGTTCACACACACATACTGCCTCTATCAAAAGTTGTTTATATAATAAAACCATGACTTAGCTCTGCAAAATCTATAATTTATAATTAAATTCTAATGTCAGATTTTTACTACCTTCTTGTCTTTGGCTTCAGTCTGCTGAGCTGATGTCTGAATCCTCCTCTGAAGGTCACAGATGGTGCTGAGCGACTCATCATATCTCTCCTTCAGCTCCGTAATTTCTCTTTCAATGCCATGTCCCTTCTCCTTTACAGCCTCCATCTCCGTCCTGGCCCGGCTCTCACCTTCCCTCGCATGCATCGACTCCTGATGGGCCTCTTCACATTTCTTTACTAAACTCAAAAGCTTGTTGTTCAGGTTGGCAGCCTCCTCCTCCAGCTGCTGCTTCTCCTTCTTCAGCTGGTTCATTTGGTCTTCCTTATAGCGAATTTCCTCGAGAGCCTGTGTGGCTTGAAGCAGCTCAGATTGCAGGGCAGATACGTCTTCAGCCCTCTGGGTGTTGTTCTCCTCTTCTTCTTGGAGAGCCATTCGGAGCTTAGCGACTTCAGCCTCCAGGGCTTCGTTGGAGTTGGCCTGTTGTTGTAGCAGAGAAGCCTGATCCTTGTGGCGTTCCTGCAGTTCTTTCTGTAAGGCACAAACCCTCTGGGCCTCCTCCTGTTGAGTCTCTCTTGCTTTCTTGCAGTCGACCTGTGCTTGCTGCATGGCATCATGGAGGGCTTGAAGCTCTGTGTCATACGTTGCTATCCGAATCAGCTCTGATTTCAGACGCTCCTGGAGATTCTGGATCTGACTATTGCAGAGGGCATTCTGGTCTTGAAGATCAGCTTTCTGAAGTGTCACCTCCTTGTGCTGCTGCTCTAAGCTGAGCAACTTCTGCGTTAATTCCTCTAATTTACCCTTGAACTCTTCCTCGACATTCTTGTACTTTTCACTGCTAACTAGAGCAGAGTCTAGTCTCTGTTGAACAGATTCAATCTCAACTTTTAGTTTCTCTTTCTCCTGCTTGTCGCCTTCTCCTGCAGATCTTTCTTTGTTATACTTCTCTTCCACTTCCAACAGCTTGACTGTCAACTCCTTCACCTGGGCAATGTAGGAGTGTTCTTTTTCCTCAGCCGCTGTCAGTGGGATAAACTTAGACTGAATTGCCTCCTGTATCGTATCAAGTTCTTTCTTCTGAGCCTCCAGTTCTTGGGTAAGCTTTACTGTTTCCTCCTGAGCAGACACATACATCGCTGACACTTCGTTTGCTCTGTTCTCTGCCTCAACCACAGCAGCATTCAACTTGTCTGTGGTAGCTTTGTGGTCTTTTATGCTTATACAGTCTTTGTTGATTTCCAACAAGACTTTTTTCAACTCTTCTTTCAACTTATCATTTTCTTCTTTCACATTCTTAAATTCTTCCCCACTTTCTTTTTCCTTGGTCTCCAACTTCAACATCTCAGCTTTGACACTCTCTAAGGTGGAACTTAACTCCATCTTCACTTGCTCATGCTGCTGTCTGGGAACATACTCTCCCTCCAAGCTCTGTTTCAGAGTCTGGTTCTGTGTGGTCAGCTGCACATACTCTTTGTCTCGGTCTTCACCTCTCCTCTGCAAAAGTTCAAGTTTCTTCATCAGGTCGGCGTTCTGAGACCTCAGAGCGTCCATTTCACTCTGGTGTCTTTCAGTGGAAGTTTGGAGACTGGTAATATTCTCCTGCAGCGTAGCCCTCTCAGTTGAAAGCTGCTGGACTTGTGCCTCTGCTTTCCCATAACGCTCGCTTGCTTCCACAAGTTTGTCCTCTAGCTCCTCCAAAGCGGTTACCATGTGCCTCCGAGCATCCTCGTGGTCCTTTATAGGTATAAAGTCGATCTCAATTCTGCTGTTGAACTCCTCCAGCTGCTCTCGTAGTATATCTCTTTCCTCCTCACTCTCCTCAACCTCACGAATTAGATCCTGGCTTTTTGCAGTCAAATCGACCAGTTTCCTTTTCAATGACGCATTCTGCTCTTCGAGGGCAGCCCATATCCTCTGCTGCTCCTCAGCTGCCATCGCACCTGATCCTCCCTGGGATGAAGGACTGTCCAGCTTTCGATGGAGTTCAGCCACCTCCTCCAGCACACGATCATAGTCTTCCCTCAGCTCAGCAAGCTGACGTTCCTTCTCATCAACTGCATTGGTCAGCAGATTTTTCATGTTGTCAAACTTCTCAGCTGGTACTGTGTTGCCATGTTTAGTCTGGGCCTCCTTTAATTGGGTTTCCATTTCTAAAAGGGTTTCTGCTAGTTCATCTCTTTCTGCGGTCAGAGCTCCCAGGTCTTGATTCAGCCTTTCTGCCTCAGCTGCTAGCTGGCTCTCGCTGTTCTTGTACTCCTCCAAGGCCTTCTCGCTCTGTTTGAGGCGATTGCGAACACGACCCACTTCTGCTGAAGCACCTTCATACTTGACCTTGATATCCTGGAGCTGGGCCCGCAGTTCTTCTGTCGCCTGGCCTCCTAAGTGTTCTTTAACAGCAACTACATGGGCTTGCAGCTGTTTAACCTTACACTCAGAATCCAGCATCCTCTTCTGGACATCCCCCAAGGCGTCCTCAAGCTCTTGAACCTGCTGGTCAGCCTGTTTCTGGATGGTGTCTCGGCTCTGAACCAGTTCTTGGCACTCTCGGTTTTTACGGTTCAGGGCAGACTGAAGCCGTGCCGTCTCTTCCTCCGCTGCCTGTTGTCTTCTCTTGACTGCTTCATGTTCATTTCGGAGTGCATCCAGCTCATTGGAGAGGTCCCAACCTACAGTGGGCTGACTCTTCTCTGCAGGTCTGGACAGTGTACGTGATATGGCACTATTCTGCAGCATCTGCAGAGAAAGAGGAAAAACAGTGATACAAATGCCAGTGTGATTTTTATGGAAAACCAACCACTTTATTTTAGATTAAAGAATAGCTGTTGACCATAATACATTCACAGAGGACTGGGTAGTTCTTAAGGATAATCGAGTTATAAATCTATTTTACTGAAGGCAAGAAAGAAAACCAATCAGGATCTGAATACTATATTAGCAATTTAATGTGTAAGTCCATCTGTAAGCGCACCACTGTTGACACAGACAGCTTAGATGCAAACTATTAACACTATGTTTTAGACATTTACAAGTCATATGAAACTGTTCCACAGCTTAAAACTTACCTGATCAGAATCGAGGCTGTGAGCTTGTTTGACCAAAGCATTTTCTTTACCTGCAAGACAACAGTGTACAAACACGACATTCACAATGTGCCGAAATAAGTTTGAAATAATAGTATCAAATTCTTCTTTAAGATTCAAGCAATGGAAGAAAGCTAACCTTTGATAACAGACTGCCCAGAGTAGTCACCCTGTGAATACATACAGATACACACACTCATTACAAATGGCTTAACTGAGACTTTTTAGAATTGAAAAAACTACATTTTTAATGATATATATGTTTTAGCAGCACTGATTTCTCTCAAAAACTTTAATGTTCACTAGATTTATTATGCATTCTCTTGCCAGTTTATTAGGTACACACGTCTAAAACTATAATATAATAATACAGTCCTAGTACAACACTCCTGCAATAAGTGTTAATTCAACTTCATGGTTGTTTTGGAGACTGTAGTCTGTGGTGCTGTTGAACTGTATTGCATTATACAAAGATGTGCTCCTGTTTCTCAGCCTACCTTAATTGATTAAAAGGGACTGACAAAATTATAGAAACATCTGTCAGTATAATGCCATACAGTACAGCACCACCAAGTACATCCTCCAAAATGAACATGCACTACTCAACACTTCTCTAAATGATAGATGTACCATATAAACTGGCAATGTATTGTATGTATACTAAGAACTTTAGTTTAAATTTCAGATTTCAGATATGAACAACAAACAACAACAAAATGTAAATCACAGTTTAAAACCTAAAAGTAAAAATCAGATATGTATAACGTCACTGACCAAAGTACTCCGGAGCTGGACCTTGACAGTCTCCAGGCCCCGAGCCCCGTCCTCTCTTTCTTTGGCGCTGAGTAAAACCTTCAACTGCTCCTTCTGATTCCAAAGAAAGAAAAGCAAAGTTAGTCAAGCAAGAGTAACCAGACACTTTAAGAAGAATAAATGACTGATTGAATGATGGGCAAAGAATACAAATGCTTTAATTGGAAACTTACTTTTGAAAAAAGCATTTAGATATTAAAAATCCATATTTGTACTTCTTTAAGAAATGCTCAGAAAATGCCTACCAGCCATTTGTTAAGGACTTCTACATGTGTTTATTTGTTTTTATCTTAAAAACCTACACCAGATATCTACTAAATTATTCAGCTTTCTGCAGTATGTGTTGTTGTCTGTATTGCAGGTGCTTCAAGTTCAATAAAAGTTGTAACAGTATCAAAGAGGCTTAGTGAAGAAGTTGGGAGTAAAATAAGGTTTTAAAGGCAGTAAAATAGAAGATGCAGGGAGATTTTCACAAACCAAGTCTATTTCAACCAAAGCAGGACTAGACAATCTGCTCTGTAGGGAAGTATATCTTTATGACATCTGTCCAACATACTAAATCATATGGACAAATATTGATCCACTTGAGTTGGTTGAGTTATCGGCAAAAACCAACGTGACACCTGCAGCCTTAATAAGTCAGTAGCTCTTTGACGGCTTTTTGTTTTTGTTGTTCCTTACTTGCACATCAAGACTTAGACAGAGGAACAAGCATTTATAATGTGCGTTTGACCTTGATTTCCTCAATATGTGTGGATATCCAGTGTTATTGAGTCACATTTCAGACTGCGCTACCTTCCTTTTCCCTTCCCTTCACTTCCACGTGTACAGTTCTATGTTGATACAGCTCCACCAACATCCTCCCAACTCTTTCCCAGTTTCACTTTCATTTGCTCTTATTTTTAGGTTTCAACAGTCACACAGTAACTTAAGACTGTCTATAAACTGCACTCATGACTGCTACCACTGTATAATAACTGTTGATTAAAATGTGAATCTAATATGAGATTCTTACAATCAAATTTAAGAAAGAACACAGCTAAGAAAAGCAATAATTCTTATTTCATACCTCTTTTTGAGTGTCGTCGACAGTTATCTTTTCCTGCAAATAAAAAAAGATCATATATACAGTCAATTGACAATATGCCACTAAAACTCTTCTGATTTAATTTTCTCCTGTGTAGGCATATTGTTCTGGCAGCTAATATTGAGGAAGGTCTTATGCTCACTAAATGTGAATTTCAAAGAAAGGCATGAATGTTTTATATAAGTAATCAGTATTAAAGTCTGGTCTAGCTCCTCTGAAAGAAACACCTGAGGTTAGCAAATGATTGCACATTTCCTAAATCACATTTTACCTTTATTATCTTAGCAGAACTATGATATCAAACCAAGAGAGCATGACTCAGTTTTAATATTATATTTGTCACCTTAACCTTTAATGGACCCTTAGATCTGCCCACCAACAGAAAACCATGTGCACAGAAAGAAACAGTGTTGAAGGACAGGAATGCTTGGCAGGCACCACAGCACTCTGCTGTTTTCTAGCTCAGTGTCTCTTGCTGTGTTGTTGTATTGTTTACCTGTGTGAGCTGTTGCTGTAGCAAGTTGACCTTATCTAACAGGGCTCTCTGCTCCTGGTGGTATTTCCTGAGACTTTCCTGTAGGGTCTCGTTCTGCCTCTCTAAGTCCTAAAAGACACATAAAAACCATAAAGCTTACAAATATAAATCAAATCCAATTACTGAATGCTAAAAAACGAATAATTCATCAGGACTTTAGGGATATAAGATGTCTCAATGATTAAGTTATTCAAGCAAACACTCGCTGAATGTCATTAAAGTTGCTTATGAGTGTCAGTGAAGCAAAGTGAGTGTGTGTTTGTATGAAATAGGGAGGCTGAAGTTATACAGCACTTACATGGATGATCTGATCCCTTCTGTTAGCCTCAGCTGCCTCTGATCTCTCTACTGAATGCTGCAAATAACACAGTATCTTTTTTACAACCATGTTTTGAAGATATAACATTACCATAGGCTATGCAAGCTTATGGAACAACTTGCACTTATAATCACTAGATGGCAGTCATGTACATCTTAGTAGCTTACAGGTTCAGACACATGAAAAGGCTGTGCTAAACAGCAACATGTCAAAGAAAATGATGTGGAACAGCTGGAAGAAAATGCAGAATCTTGAGGGTGTTTTTACAACACAGAGTACTAGCATTTTAACGGTGGACAGGATGGATTCTGACTCATTAATGTCAACAATAGCTTTGGGGTGCGAGTAGGCTTGACCTTTGTTATCTTTTAACAAAGGGACTGTGGGGAAAAAAAGGATTCTTAAATGTCAGTTCATTGCTATTCCCATCATGCTACATGTACACATGAAGGTCCTCTAAAATATGTAGAGTGGTGATAACTCTAGTGGAGGTTTAGGAAGATGTAAGCCAGTGAACTCAACACTGCAGGATTACCTGTCGCTTCCACTGTTCAATCTTTGCTGCCTCTTTATCTGTAACAAAACAAAAAAAACAGCAAGGTCAGATTTCATTAATTCCTCCCACATGTCAAGATTTGACAGTGTTCCTTGAATAGATTTTCTAGGAAAGGAATACACACAAGAAGGACAAAAGCAAATAAAAATCAATCCTCAAAATACCAATACTGTCATGTAGCTCTAACAGAGCAAGCTAAAGTCTACACACTTTCTTCATCTAAAAGCACCCTCTTCACCTTGAAACATTGACCTGAAACAATGTTCAAGTCACTCAACTCTAAGCAGGTTTTAAAACCCGAAGAGAGATGTTTTATCACAGTACAGGTTAGAAGCTATCCTTCCTTCTTGACTGGTATGATCAGTCACTGTTGCTAACAAGGATCATGCTAATTATTCTCTTGTATTTATTACAAAATAAACAACTACAAGATTCTTTCATGCGTTTTGCCATCTGACCTCTGGTGGCTTTCTCGAGGTAACTTTTGACCATCGTAACAAGCTCCGGGCTCTTGCTGAGGCGAGCATAGTGAAATGCATCATGACCCATGCCGTCAACTGCCTTTACATCAGCGCCGCTCTTCAGCAACACCTCCACTGCGTCCTTACAGCCATACTCGCAGCCCAGAATCAGCGCTGTCCTGAAGGGGGGGGGGGGTCAACAAAGACAGTTTATGAGCAAGAACATGCCA